GTTGACAAGTATAAATAGTGTACAGTAGGGGCCCCAGGTACTCCGAATTTGATGTTGCTGCAATTTGAACGCATTTCGTTAATAAGCACTTGCTCAGTTCCATTGGACAGGAATGATTTAAATCTGAGTAGAAACACTAACATAATTGACCATATCAAATGTTCTACTTAAGTCTATCTGCAAAACTATCATAACTAAATTCTGGTCGAAATCCTGACTGCTTTTTCGGTAATAAGTTCCGTTACTTTCTCTAGAATGTTTGAAAATGTGGATAGAATACTGACCAAGATGCCCAAATTCAGATTATTAATTTTTGGAACGGGAATAATTTCTGCTTGATTCCAGATGAGTGCGAAGTAAGAAGATGAAATGCACCTATTAATGATGTGTGTTATATAGGGCCAGGTGATAGGACGTCATAATGAAATGAGATATTCATTTTATATGCTTCAAAAGTTTAATTATCGTCATCGTTCTCCGTCACCGAAGTAAAATTAAAACGATCAAAAGTTCGGCCCTTGGGGCGGTATTAAGGGTATATGAAGTAACAACATAATTATTCAAAACGTCGGCGTTCTTTAAGCTCTCTGGAATAGCTTTTCTTTTGTTTTTAATTATGTCGACTTTTTTAAGCTCACTGAATTTCGTTTCTTAATGGAAGATAGTAATGTAATGTGACATCATATAAATTGCTAATGACCGGGATCATATTCCGTAATTTATAAAAATAGTAAATAGTTTAAAAATTGGGAGACTATTTACAAATCTTCTGGATTCCTCCTACTTCGGTCGTTGATGAATCGAACTTGCTGACGTTTCGCCAACCATCCGGCTTGCATTTTAATCTGTACCTGCTTATATATTGTTTGAGGAAGTAAAGGAGGGGCTTGAAAATTATCTGAGTCGCGGAGTTGGTTGCTTATAGATTTTTTTAGGTTCGCGGATTTTTCGTTGGTAGAAGAATTGATTACATGCAAGAATTTTTATTTTATCGAATAAAATTTGATCTCCGATTTCGTGATTGTGTTCAGCAACGGCTGACGAGTTTATTGGTCTTAGTCTTAAGACTCTTTCGTGTTCTTTGAACCTAGTTGATATTTTTTGTCCGGTCACTTCAATGTATTCTTTGTCCCATATGTATCTTCGACAAGTGTTAAATCTGATGTTAACTATTGATATGTGGTCAGTGGGAAGGACAACAGTTGCAAGTGTAGGGTTGCTTTCGGACTTGTCTTAATTTAATATCCCTAATGTGAAAAAGTTGTTTTAATTCTGGGTGTTTCAGTGACTCATTCTCTTGGCTTTTTTAGAGCTTAGTTGAAACTGACTCACATATTCGATCCGTCAAAGAGAATATTCCGTTTTAGATATCAGGAGTTTACAGCATTCCATGCATATGCGGAAAAGATACAAGATACCGGACGAAAAATATCAATTAGGCTCAAAGAATATGAAAGAGCCTTAATAATAACAAATAAACTCATCAACAGTTGCTGAACACAATCACGAAACGAAAAGTTTTATTCGATAAGATAAGATTCTTGCATGTAATCAATTCTTCTACCAACGAAAAATTCGAGAGTCTATAGAAATCTATGAGCAATCAAAAAATCTTAACCGCGACTCTTTTCCTTTCACCAATATAGGAATCAGTCACCCAAGATAGTGTTCATGTCCCTGTTTTTGCTCCGCTCCGTCAAACAATATATAAGCAGGTACAGCGTAGAATGCGAGCCAGTTTTAGTTAAGGTCTGAAGAAGCCAACAGGATGATTGACGAAACGCCTGCAAGCTCGATTCATCAACGACCGAAGCAGCAGAAATCCAGAGGATTTGTAAATAGTATCACAGTAGCCTGTGAAAGAAAACATTAAGAGTAAGTAAATAAAATTAGATAAAAATAAAATAATTTATTGTGTAAACAATACCTTTGAAGTCAATATTGTGATCTAAGTAAACGAACGATTTCCGCGCGCACAAATCTAAAATTTATAGGTCGTGGCGGTCTCAAAAGTGCATTAAAAATCTTTGTTCTTCTTTCTACTTTACCAATTTAATACCAAGAAAGTTCATAGACGATTGAGTTTTGTTTATAGTATGGTAGTGAACACGCAGATCATTTTTATGTCTGAAATCATGTGGAAGTCGATTTTCTGGAATATAACTTTGTTTAATCTTGAGAGTCAACGTCGGGTGTATTCGAAAGAAGACAATCTATGATTTATTTTCATTTAATTTAAGATAACTAGAACGAAACCATTCTTTTGTATCAACAATTATTTGAGTACTTGAAGATACTGCATCACTTAAAGTTCAAATTAAGTAATGTTTTATCATCTGCTCATAAAAACACTATATATGATCCTATATTCAGGGGTAAGTCGTTAATATTATAAAAAAACTAGACCTAGTATTGAGCATTGTGTGGCACTTCAAGCGAAACAAAGTGTGCTTACACCTTAAAATTCAAGTTTCTTAATAAGAAATGCATAGCTAACTCAATTAAACGCTTTTAAAAGATCTAACTAGGTCATCGGAGGAATAACTTTACTATTAATTGCTTCCAAAACCTTCTTCAGAATGATAGATAAATTGTAATAAACATTATTACTATTCGTCGACAACAAATTTCGTACAAAGAAGTTTATTCAAATTTACAATCTCTAGTTGCTCCTTTTTCAGCATATCTTTCTGAAATTGCTTAAAGTAAGTGAACGAATTATGTTTTTTTTTTCAAGAAGACGTGGTTATTTTTTAGATTTTCTTACTATAACAAACTCAGGAGGAATTAAATATAGCATTTCCTGGAAGTAGTCTTTAAAAACGTCAACGTTCATGTACATTGTTAACTGTCAAACTCCAGTCATATTGGAACAGATTTCAACTAGTTTTGCAGATCTGATTGTCGAGTTTTGGCGGCAAAGAACTTTGAACACATTAAACAAATAAACAGCGAACATCGAGTGTTTCCTTTGAATGATTTAATTTGTGCTTGATCGATATTAGTATTAGTTTTCTGCATCATCGAAAGATGCAGGTGAAAGAATAGTTTCATCTTTGGAAGAAAGTCCACGATATCATTTGAATAATTTCAAAACTCGTCTAATAATAGAGATAATGATGTGAATAAAAAAACAAAGATTCTGGTAAAAAATGAATTAAGGCAGATACCTATGCCCTGTTTCTTGATGCGCTACAGTTATAAAATGTAAATTTGCAACGACACCGATCATTAAAAAAGGTGAACAACTTATTATATTTATTTACCTAAAATTAATAATAATAAAATTTATTTTAAGAATTTAGATTTACCTAATAAAATTTATTGAAAATGATAATAAATTTATTTTCTTCATTTGATCCTTCTACAAATTTATCAACTTAAAGGTTATATCCGATAGTTCGGATTAATTGAGACGTTGAGAGATTTTTGAACAGGTGGTAAATCTGGCTTGAACTTTAGATATTATATATTATATTATATTTTAGTGAGTCAATCAATGAAGTCATATTTTTCAAAGTTTTCTAAATGTTCGTCTTATCCATAAGTGGAATAATATCATCATTTTCCACTTCAGACATTATTTTACCCATAGTAGGTCTTTATTCTTGTAAGTAATGTTAGCAGTCTGTTTATCCTCATTTATTACAGTTTCTTTTCTTCCTGTACTTGTGGCCTGATATTGATATATTGTTGACTCTCCAACTCTAGTCATACTTCACCACATTTCAACTATTTTTGCAACTCCGAATTATGAGTTTTGACTGCGAAGACTTTTAAACACATTGAGAATTTCTCGTTTTTGGAAAGCTCAGTTTTACTAATCTGTTCCTCAGCAACAAATCTGAATTAAACTGAACTTTTGTCACTCTCGGGACCCATGAACAATACTACGCCTGATAAGAGGCTAAGACAACTAAGTTTTAGAGTTCAATATTGATTTATAACTCTCTCATAGAAAGAAATGTTTTATTCTGTTAACTCCACGCAACAGTTTGTCAAACCATACCCTCTTTTTGTATAATCAAATATACGATTCAACAAATCTATTGATATTTACGTAAAATAAACTACATACTTCCAATAAATAAGGAGTTTCTCCAGAAACCAATTGTAACTTAAAAACGCCATTTGTTTAATGAAAAAAGGCATTTAATTTAAATCAATAATTGTCAATCCCGTTTATCTTTTAATTCAAAATATAATAGGATTGAACACTTCATCAATCCCATTTATCCCGTTTATCTTCTTGAAAGCGACAAATTTATGGTTTAATTCAAAATATAATAGAATTGAACGCTTCATTTCTACTTATCTTAACTAAACAGTTTACCCTTTTGCAATATAAAAATTACGAAAAGTTCTACCATATAATATAACTATAATAATAATTTTCAACCTTCCAGAAATTATAAAAATATTATTAGCGCTTTAAGTAATAACACAGGGTAACAAAACGAAAAAACGCTTTTGGTACCATAGCTGACTTTAGATTTAGATGCTTTCAAACAGCTCTAGTTTTGGTTAGATGTAGGTTAATTGATATTAGTTCTGATGAAGGACATATATGAAAATCATGTCTTTATCGTAATTCGATAAAGGAACTAGAGTTCTCAACCGCCTGAAATCCAGTTACATCTTTGAAAATCTCGTTAAACCATGATGAAAATTTGTACTAGGGGGAATTGACGACGGAAGCTGATTGGCATTTTGTCTTGTGGCTTTGGTGGTGTGCGCTTGACATTTAAATTAAATTTATGCTCTGAAAAATGATGCTGTAGATATTCGTAAGTTTTTTGTATTACCTATATTTAAACCAGTTTCTGAGAGAATGGATGAATTTTTCAAGCATTCCTATTATGTTTAGACGGTTCTGGGATCATAGCGCCTCAGCGCCGGCATCTACAAAAGCATTAAAGTTTGTTTCGTAATTTGTTAAACGAGTCCTCATAGAATGGTAGTAACAGTGTACCGAGCGAGCAATGCGTTTTGGGTTCCAGATCAAATTTCTGAAATCCAAAGAAGGCACCGCCATGGTCCAAATGGGCGACAGCGTCGCCGTCGAACGGTGCGTGCAAAACTTGAACAACATCGTGGTCGGTCTCACCGGGGCGGCCCCCTTGATCAATCATTCCCATTCGAATCAGATGGATTCCGACGCCAACGAAGATAAGGTAACGCGTTTTTTCAATTTGGGATTCTGAACTTTGACGTTGTACACCAATAAAAAAGACCAAACCTAATAAGCCTATGTTATAGCCAAAAGAACACAAACTTCAGTTGGCGTTCAGCAAACAACCTTATCTGAGCGAGGTGACCAACCCCTATCCATTACCGGACAAGTCGCCCTCCTACAAGGAATACCTGAACAACAAAAACAACCGATTCATGAACCCCTCGATGGCCAGCAAGAATCGCATACAAGCGCCCAGCAAGATACTGCACTTCTTCAACACGCCGCCGCAGGTGACCGAGGAGGAACTCATCCAGGTATTCAAAGACTACGACGTCGTCCATCCGAAGAATGTCAAATTATTCCCGATGAAGTCCGAGCGCAGCAGTTCGGGTTTGCTGGAGTTCGACACCATTGCCGAAGCGGTGGCGGCCGTAATGGCCTGCAACCACGCCGCCATCGAGAGTCCAGGTAAGAAGAATATACGAAATATTTTATCGGACTTTAGGTCAAACCTCCAGTGGAACACAGACATGTAGAGACTCTTGGAATCTAAGAGAGGGACGAGAAATGATACGACGTTGTCATATATGTATTGTTGGGTAGGGTAGCATTTTCCGCCTCGCTTCCCCTAAAATCTCGGAGTAACTTTGTCGCACTTTAGGTATCCCGGTATAATGCACAATAGATTGAAATTATTCAAATTTGTAAGACGAAACAAATAGCTTCTAGAATAGTACAAATAACTTCATACAATTTGCAGACCATTTTGGAAAGTACCTGGAGAGTATTTGTCATTGTGATTAAAAGAGAGATAAACAGGTTGTGGCCAAAAACCATAAAAAAATATTTTTGAGCGCATTAGAAAAAGCAACTTCCCATATTTGATACATGTTTACATTTTTTATAGATCAAATTAGTTTGGAATGTTATTTTTGACAATGGGGTTCGTTAAGTAATAAGACTGATAAACATATTAAGTGATTTTTTTCTAAAACATAGTAGAAGCGATTCGTTACTTCTACATCCTCCGTCCACCAGCGGGAAGATCTTAACCGTTCATAACCTAAAGCTTAATACCAATAAGTCAGTAACCATTTTATTTGGACCGGAGAATCAGGTAAACTGTGTCGTGGGAGGTTCATATTGTGTTTAAAACTGAAGTAAAAAATTTGGCACTAGGAATGGATGCAAACCAATATTTCACAAAACATGTAATTGACTCTGTCAGTACTCCTTTGGATTGGTTAGGATACCAAAGAGCTTGTCCGCGCAAACCATTCCGGAGTCTATGAGCACTGCATAGTGCTTTTTAAAGTTACAGAGGACATTCTTCACATCCTTCATAACAGTCCACCATCGGTGGTTGTGTTGTTCGACTTTTTGATTTAATAAATCATGATTTATTTTTGTCAATATTGAATTATATTGGATGCTTCTGGTTTAATTCGATCACACTTATCTCATAGACAACAGTATGTTCTTCTTGACAAGAATATATCAGATTCTTGTAGTGGCTGGTTTACCACAGGGAAGTATTCTGAGTCCTCTTCTTTTCATAATATATCCCCCACAATTTGGTAAACATTTTTGGCACTGTACTAGCCATAATACGCAGGTGATAAACAATTGCAACTACAGTTCATTCCTGGATTCCAAATTCCAATAATTATCGATATATCGAAAATATCTAAATCAATCAGCTTCAAATAGCCGATTTCTCGACATCACTTGCATCTGTTATGCCCAGTACACAATTTTGGAAACCAGTTTCTGAAATATTTTGGAAATATCTTTACGATTTGTTTCAGTAATGCTTCAAGACATTGAGAAACAGTTTCGAACGTTTTTGGGTTTCCGTCGAAAGTGTGAAAAAAAGTTTGCAGGTCTGGACGTGTTTCGGAAACAGAATAATATTTCTTGTTTCTGATACTATTGAAGATTGTTTAGATGTTTTAAATGTATACATTAGACTTGTGTATGAATCACCGGCAGCCAAAAATCGTAAGGTGGCTGTTAGAATAATTGAGGGAGAAATTACTGCTCTGTATTTTGTATTATGAGATCAATATTGTCAGCAATTCCTCAAGATCAAATAGTGTTATCCTAAGAAAATTTCAAAACCCAGTACCATCTTCCAGGTTTAAATCTACCATTAAATTCTCCTCATAGTAGCAACCTTCTTCAAGCCACCAACGTCTAATTTTTTTTATCTTTCAAGTGATATAAATACAACTCGTACAAATTAATGCCGCGGCAATTGCCTACGTTTAAAAGTGAGAAAGTTTCTATATTTTGCTTCGTACTGTCTGTATTAAAACAGAATTTAAACAAAACAAAAAATCGCAGCTATCAAAACTTAATTTTTTGTTATAAATACGTAACAAGTCTAGTAGGTTCAATTATTTTAAATTATTGTTATTATGATGAAAAAGCTAAAATAAGGGCCATTTAAGGAAGTACAGTGGATTGAGTTTAGAATCGTCTTATTATTTTGATGATTGATAGATAATAAATCTCTAAGGCGTTAAACTTAATGATTCCACAAAAATTAAATAGTAAAAATTTTTGGCGTAAGTCGAGAACAAAATACAAAACAACTGCTTATGCCAGGCACACGCGGGGCAAGTGAACGCCCGGCGGCTGACAGGCTTCAGCGAGCATTGTGCTTGGACGATGGCACCCTCTCACCGATCGTCGCTGGTGACTTGCCAAACTAAGCCAGGAGCGCGGTGATGCTAAAATGATTATTATTATATCGGATAAATAGTGCCCATCTAGTCCGATAAATGAGACAAACATTACTTTCCTCGTCCTTTATAGTTTTTTTGAAAATAATTGTTTGCTTCCCTTAATCTTTCACTTGTTTCCTCCCACACATCTTCTCCATCGTTCAATTTCCGTTAGTAAGAGGGATGTATTTTATTTTTTATTCCCGCAGGCACCAAGTTCCCGTTCATAATGAAGCTGTGTTTCTCGTCGACCCGGAGCATGACGATCAAGAACGGCGACAGTTCCGCGACATCCAACAACGATCCCACGCAGCAGACGACCAAGGACGAGCGCTAAGGGTGCGCGTGCGCATCCCCGCCATCCCCATTTTCAAGTTCAACGTTAGATCAGCAGTTACGTTAAATTAACGAGCACATATCCTTTTTCCGTGTATCGCGGCCGTCGAGAAACCGTTGTCGTTTCGCATATCACTTCGTTTGTTATCAGAATTTTATTGTTCGTTTTTCGACGGCCCCCTTTTGTTGTTTGTTATTATTATGCGTTTCCCTCGGTATGCTATAGTTCTTAGCGCGTACTTAAAATTACGTTCAACATTAGATAAAATGTCTGTCTCTCTCTACCTTTTAGCGTCTAAATTTTCGATTCGGCTGACCAATGGAATTCGCCGTTACCGGAGTCCAGTAAATAGTTTAATGGCCGCGTCGAATTTTGGAAAGGGATTCGAAAAGCAGTCCGGTTTGCCACTGCCGATTAGCACGGATGCATCCTAAAGACGTCTTTTTTTTACTATCTAGGAGTGTTATTTAATAAATGTTTGATATTTTGCAGGGTGATTTCTCAAGTGTTTTTAACGTTAACGTAACCATATTCCGAAAACGGTTCCATCTACCATTTTTTCACGTAAAAATAATGGAATTTTTTTTTCTAAGAGGAACGTACAAAATGTCATGAAAATGATGTAGGTACCAATTTTTGTTTAGAAATCGGCACTATTTCAAAAATTATGCAGGACGAAAGAAAAATAAAAATAAAACCTTTAAACCACAAGTTTACAGTAATTTCCACCTTAAAAATATTGGAGAAATCGTACTTTAAAATAGCAGAGCTTTATTTAATAACATCTGTCACTTTCAACATAGGAAAAAAAATGCAGGTTCAATTTAGGACAGATTTGCTAATAGATCAGCTTGATAATATCGCCCAAAAAAAATTGAGTTTATTTTAAAACTAACAAGAATTCCCATTGTACACGATCTCATCAAAGCCATCAGAAAGTCTAATTTCTTCCTTATTTACTTATACTAAATTTTTAATTTTTGCACTTTTCATGACCTTTTTAATGTCGCCAATTATCCTTGTTCCAATAATATCTGACATCTATTATGCAACGTATAGCGAATGAATTGAAAAATGAAAAACCAAAATCACTTATGTATTATTAAAACATTAATATATACTGGGCACTCTCAAGATTGAAATAAGAGATACAGGGTAGTTTGAATTAAATTAAGATTGTCGGATAGATGAGCCTGTTAAAATTCACTAAATAATTCATTCTTATCTGTGGTGCCGGAAATGTCAAAGAAAGAAGAATCAAAAAAGAATTTTCATTGGAACTTTGTGAGCTTTATCTCATCAAAATCCGTTTCTCTTAACCATCGTCGAAAATTTTCGTTGCAACCGACAAATTTAATTTTTGCACTTTTCATTATATTTATTATTTATACCATAGTGGGTTCATACCTTTAAATCCGTTATGTTTTTTTACCAATTTTGTGAGATTCCTCTCACATAACATTCCTATAACCGTTTTTCGCAATGAATGCTTTATTCAATAGTGAAATGCGCTTAATATTTGACCAATTTAGAAGGTAAACTGTGGATAAATTTTAATATTTTTACTTTTTGCAATTTCCTGCTATAATTTAAAAGCTAATAAAAGAGACTATCGAAATAACATTGTAAAAATGAGAGTTTAAGAAAAAATTAACTATAGTTGAACCTCAAAAAGCTCCAATAAGAATTTGTAGCCTGTATCTCTTACGTTCTCCCAGACCCAGAAATTTCAATCATTGTGGCGATACGTCTGTCCTAATGAATTTTTCTTCCTTCCACAGTTAAAGTGTATCTAACTAAAGAAAATTTTTACAATTTTTCCTTTTCTGTTTCGTAAACATCCTCATAAAATCGGCCGTTCAGGGGCTATTACAAATAGTGTGCGTGTGATGTTTATGGATCTGTCCGTATAGAAAAAGACGTCTAGCAAAACGTCGGTTTGTTATGTTTAAATGTCCCGAGTTGAAAATGATGTCTTTAATATTTTCTGCGCTACTTGGGCATCAAGGGTGCGCGTGACTTAATTCGCTAAGGCCGATATGCGCGAGGGGACCTTTTACGAGTTGATTATAAATTATAGTATTAAGGTATAGCCCGACACAGAACATTTGTTTGTAGCCGCGCGGAGATATTCTTCACACTGATTTTGCAACGACTTATTAGTACTAGTGTTACGGATTTTTATTATAGCCTATATAATGTAGAACGGCGACGCAAAATTATTGTTAGCCCACCGCGTAGAGACCGAGTTCGAAGTTGATCTTATTTTTCCGTTGTTGTTGGTAATACTTTATGGCGGCTAGGTTTTTATTTCGACGTTTGTGGAACAACCGAAGTCAATATTTATAAAATATCAACCGCGTCGCGGGATTGGCGACGTAACGCGTAACAACTATATATCACTCTTACGAAACTTTAAGCAATTGAATTTATTGACGTATCGCTGACATATTTTTACGGACATATCAAGAGAATATTTTTAGGGATTTTTCTTAAGCTTTGTAATTACTTTGTTGACAATTGCGAAGGGGGGGTAGATTAGGCGCCGCGGCGGCTTTGTTTGTGATCGGAACACACGTCAAACGCCGAGAGGCGTGTTCCAGTGTTCCACGAAAACTGAAAAATACAAAAACGGTGGTTGGCGTTCAAATCACGGAAACAAAATTTTATTAAAATTTTTCCGGTACTAACTTGTCGAAGTATTTTTAAAACTAACGATTTTTAGTCCGTGGGTTTCAGAATAATTAAGTATTTGCTGCGAACGGAAATAAGTGTTCAAATGAATAAGGAATGACGAAAATTCCATATGTGTATGTTACCCTGAAGATTCGGTGAATATCAGTAGATGTGTTACGATAGCTTAAGTTGAAGGTTTTTTGTATTTAAAATAAAATGTTATAGTTGTTGTTATAGTAAAAATATTTTTGTTGTTTGTTTTAAGTTCAACAAATGATTGATTGATTTTATTAAAAAAAAGTTTTTTCCGAACATTAGCCGTTTTAAGTTAGAAATAATTGCATTTTATTATATTATATATATATATATATATATATATATATATATATATATATATACATATATATATATATATATATATATATATATATATATATATATATATATATATATATATATATATATATTTATATATATATATATATATATATAATATAATAAAATGCAATTATTTCTAACTTAAAACGGCTAATGTTCGGAAAAAACTTTTTTTTTTAATAAAATCAAAACAAAATAATACTCTATTTGTTGAACTTAAAACAAACAACAAAAATATTTTTACTATAACAACAACTATAACATTTTATTTTAAATACAAAAAAACCTTCAACTTAAGCTATCGTAACACATCGAATGACGAAAAACCAGAAATTGTAATAAAATTTGTATATGTATATAATGTAATTGGTGAGAATATGTGTTGCTGTTTATCTTCAAACAGTTTTTTAAAATATGTTCAAACTTTCAATCATTAGTTTAACGCCTTTCACAGTTGATCCCGCGTCAAGTCTATTTCTATTAGAAGTATCTTGAAAGTTCATTTATCAGAACAATTTTCGACACGCACACGCGGATCCAAACATCGTTAAAAGAGCATTAACTGTTTTCTTCATCCACATGGTAATTTTCTTTGGTTTGTCGATTTTTTTTTCAACAAACAAATGTGGGTGAAATTATTCACTTGTAAACATTTTTGCTTTATTTCGAAGACTACAAAAGTATTCAACAACAGCAACACGATCAGCATTGACTTAACTTTGTTGACTGTAATGATTAAGTTGAAAGTTATGACTGATGGTTATTCGTGAAAAAACCCAAATAGTATCGAAATTACCCACACAAATTATAAAATCTACAGAAAATAAACAAATGGTTGCCTAGGAGTTAAAAAACGTTCTTGCCAATGTCGCCATCACTATTCTAGTCAAATCTTAATCGATGAAGTGAAAATTTTTAAAAAATGGGAAGGGGAAAATCCGTCATGGGTGAAATCCCAAGGAAAGATTTTAAATGTGATATTGGGTAACAGAAAAAAAATTACACGAAAATATCAATTTTTTTATCAAATGGAAGTTTGAAAAAACATGATTACTTGAGTGGAAGCAAAAATTTCCTCTTCCAATTTTGCGGCTATTTACCAAGTAACATTAAAAATTTAAGCGAAGTAAAAAACAATTTAAAATTAATTATTTTCAAAAACTCTTTGATGAACGTTTTCGAATTTTAAAAATTTTTCATTGAAGATTTTTTCTTCCTTTTTGTAAATTTCTAGGTAAACATGCATATTTATGTTTTGAGTTTCTTGAGAATGGTGTTTACTCACTCGTTTAAATTATAACCTTTAAGTACTTAGGCACTTTTCGCATACTCTTCAAGTTAGATAAAATAGGATAACAATATCTTCAGTACAATTAAAAATTTTTAAAATTTTACTATTGATGATTTTTTCGTCTATTTTGTTTTACTTTTTCTAGGTATTACACGATTTCAGGTTTAAATTCTAACCTAACATGCACTCAATTCTAGGTGGGTTTGATGAAGCACCGTTTTTGTATATTGGCAGTTTTTAGTGAAGATTATTTATTTTTTGATGCTTCCCATTTGTTCATGGAACGCCATCATCATGATCTGCTTTCGAAATTCGAAAAGCAAAAATTTATGTAGGTTATTCAAAATCTACAACGACTTTCAAAAATGACAATGGCAATAGATCAATAAGCGATCGGGCCCTAATGACCCGCCCTCGTATATATATATTTATCTAAACCCAAAAACAAACGAATAACTAAACATATTTCTAAACCGATAAGGGCTTATAGCTAAGTATGTACTATAACGGTTTCGTCCTATAGGATCTAACGTGTGTGTGTATACTCGCTACTTTAGTTGAATGTCTTCCTGCTCCGGTGCGCGCGCCGGTTCCCGTTCGGCTGCGCGGTAGCGGTAACGCTGCGGTCCCCATGAAGCCGGCGGCCTACGATCGCGCGGCGTTGCCAGCGCCTCCGGCGCGAAACCGCTGCGCGCCGCGTCTTATAGTCCAGGAGGCAGCTAGCATTTTTGATGGCCCATAGTAAGAAAGCTCTTTTTTTCTTGTAGTTCAGCCAATAACGTTAAAAAAAAATTAACAATTTACTTCTATATTTATCTTACAAGAAATTGCATTGTAATTGACTGACTATAGCTTTGACATTTCTTTACCGATGTTGAATTTTCAGCCAGCAGTGTAAAGAGCCATTCTTGCTCTTTGGGTCAGTGATATCGGCTTTTTTTCTTCAACCCCCTGTAGTTATACAGGTTCTAAATGTTTCCATTTTTGGGAGAAATTCGGAAATGATGGGGACCCTTGTAAAGTTTTTTACGATGTGGATCGCTAAATTATTAAATTTTTTATTATTTTAAAATTGAAACTAAACTATAATCAGATGCCGTATACACGTAATAACTTGTAAAGGAAATGTTCAAAACCAGTTTCTATTTTTTTATCGTTTATTCTTGGCTAAAATGGGTATACATTAAAATATCTTAATTTGAAAGTAAAGCTTTGGCCCTCTAGCCTCCTTTCATAAACTTCCATTTGCACTTTTTTGGTTGCAGTTTAGGCGATATATCATGTTGTTTAGTTACAAGTTTGAAATTCAAATTCTAAATTTATGGGTAATAAACTCGTTACTGTTACGACACGTTCTAAACAGCAACGCTTGACAAAACTTTTAAAAATATCAAATTCAAATTGTTTTTCAAATTTCCTGAAGCGTTCTTTTGCACACTATTTTTGGTTTTGTTAGTAGTTGACGGCATTTGTTATTGTTCCCATTTTGAAATAACAAAATTTTGTAAACAGTTTTAAAATACTCCCCATCCTTTCATATAACGTTGTATATGTATAATATATGTATAACGTTGGAGAAAAAATCCACCACCACTAGCGCATAACTCTTTGCCCCGTTGGCTGAAAATCCAATTTTGGCAAGAAATGTCGAAGTTATATCTACTCAAATGTAGGCAACTTTTGTATCTCAATTCATCTGCCGTTCAGCTTGTGATGAAGAGATAAACTAAAATAGTCCACTAAGTTTTTCGCGGTGGAAAATTGCTGAACTGACAATCGGAAAATACTTTCTTGATATTGCATTTTCCATTAACACGCTGACAAAGCAAAACGAAATCAACCAAAGCAAAAAACCTCAGCTTTCTTTCGATTATGGTCAAAAAATGGCAGCTGGCTTCCGGAACATTAAATTAAATGTCAATATCTAGCGTTTCTATGGTAACGTTTAGTGCGCGGTTGAGATGCGCGTAACATAAAAGACAAATAGTTGATGTAATACGTAGTTGGTAACGGTGGCGCTGCGGTCGTTTTGGCGCGCTCTTTTTGTTTTTCGTTTTCGAGCGATTCTCGATTGTTTTTGGTACAAACGCGAGCCGAAACCATCGCCACGCCCTACTCTAGTTGATAGTTACTGTTATTAGATACTATATATATCTACATGGTGAGTATTAGTTGATGCCAGATATCCGATCGATTGTCACCGAACGAGAACACATTCCAATGATGATCCATATCGTGCCAAATGTATAACGCGGAATATTTGAGATGGGGCCGAGACAATAACCCGAAACGGGCTCAAAATTTTTCATATCCAATCGATCGGTCGGATATCGGGGCGCCGCTCCAATTCCTTGTGTGTGTCGTTTAATTTCAGTAGTATGTCCTCTCTATGTGGAACTTGGTACTTGCATCCCGCAATATATGTCTTAAAAAACGAGGAAAACATTAGTTTGAGTCAATTAATTGTGCCTCTAGCATCGTGGTAGTCTCGTTTGTCTATCACACTCTAAAATAAAACTCCAAAAGCTCCACCTATATATATTATATATTCTCTAAATATATAACCCTCGCTTGTTTCTCTCTGTGATAGGTGCCAAACCTGACAACCTATAATACGGCCAAATTAGACATAACAATGATAATTCATTGACAAAAATTAAACCAGAACTGGATTTTGGGGGACCGGGTGCTAAACAGTTGTTCATGGTCAAAATTTTCCGTTTTTAGATTTATTTTGCAAACGGTAAATGTTATCAAAAATATCTGAGTCGACTTAAATTGTATAGATCACAAAATTGTCTAGTTCTCCTAGCAATCCCCGTTTCTTAAATATCTCGATTCCAGTATGAGGACTTTTTTGGTAGATAATTTTATGATCTACAATTTATGCCTGAGATGTTTTTTTGATAAAACTTACTGTTTTTGAGAAAAATCTAAAAAACCGACAATGAACTTTAACGTCGAATAACTTTTTAGGGGACATGGGACCGACTGGGACTGTTGCCATTTTATTCCTATTGGTTTACCCAAGGTCTCAACAAAAATCCAGGTTCTTGGAAATTTGTGTTCTTTAAAGAAATGTCCATTTTGACCGGACTACGTACCGAGACGTTTCTTTTGCTTCAATCGAGACTGAGACGCGGTTATTCTCTACTTATCGCTAAGTCGTCGAACGAACGAAACACCAAATAACGCTAAGCCTAGGTTTCACGCGCCAGAGCGTTTCTTCTCGCTAACTTGCCTTAAATTCGTAATTAAACTTTCATCGTTTTGCGATGGTCCGAACATTTTTATTTTGTTTTATCCGATGATATCACGGCAAAATGAAAATTTTTAGAAACTATTCGTCGTGGGAACTTGGCTTCATCCACCATTGGTCAAATTGAATCGTTAAGTGATAGTCAATATCTCTCGTCATGGCCAAGAACATACGGTTAACCTTTTACAAATTATTTTAAGAAAAAATCTTCATATGAAAGTATGTTTTAAATGCTTTAAATTTTGGTGAATTTTTTGGAAAAAAAACTTTTTTATATT